TGTTCTCCACAGTAAAGGCAGATTCAAAAGCCATTACAACCTCTCTTACTACCAAATGGGTTTCCACTCCATTATTGTTAGAAGCCAGGTAAGAAGATATATATATATTTTTTACATGTTTGCGTAAAAATGTAGGCTCTTCTCAGTGAGTATACTCAGCAGGTTTTCAGGTGTTATCGCCTTCAAATAAATTTATTAAAAGCCTCTGCAATTATAACATTATTTCCTGTGCTTTCCAATGTGATAAAGATACAGGCTCTGTCTTTCAGTAGGGCCAGACTGCATTGAGTCATTGAGCTATATAGGGGCTGATTAAAAGAAATGTATTTAATTGATTAAATTAGTATGTTATTTTCCAGGAAAATTACAAATGTAAGAAATATTTTGACACATTTGTACTTAAAGGATTTTCTGCTTAGTGGAAGGTTTTAAGTATGTAATGGAAGAAAAGAAAGGTTGGCAAGATGTGTGACAAGGAGACTTTGAAGAAGACCCCAACATCAGAGAGTGCAAGGGAAGCCGAGTGACTGTGTTTTATCTGTTCTGAGAGAAACATTTTTTACATATTAGTGTCTTCAAAGTCAGAATGTGTTTTTAATCACATCAACTTGATACTTGAAACTTAAACTGGTAGCATTTTCCCTTCATTGATGTCTTAAAAATTGGTATAGAACAATATACCTAGGAATTCCTGGGAAATCTTATATTCCCAGTGGATTTTTTACCAACTATTTATAATAGACATACATCTTTCTTTTTTCAGCAATCAGCTATGTGCTTGTAAGAGATAATCTCAAATCACCATATACGTACATACATTTTTCTTTGCAGCCAGTTTTTATGGGAATTATGGTGTTTGGATGGGAATTACTCTGTTGTTGAGAATATATACAGCAAAACTTGCACCAATTCAAAACAATTTCTGCATACATGATTCAATAACACTGATTACTTTCTCCCAACTGTGCAGCCATTCTCACTCACCTCCTCTGAGATGTTTCTTCCTTCTCAACACAACACTGCCCCAAAGCTTTCTATTCAGCCCTTCAAGTTGCTATTGTCAGTATGATCCCAGGTAGATCTTAAATGAACACAGCGCTCGGAAACCAAAACCAAACTCTGTACTCAGTGCCATGGAGTCAATGCTGACTCCATGTGACAGGGTGGAGCCGCCCCTGTGGATACCTGCGACTAACTCTTTATGGGAGTAGAAAGCCCCATCTTTCTCTTGCTGAGCAACTGGTGGTTTTGAGCTGCTGATATTGCAGTTAGCAGCCCAATGTGTAACCACTTTACCATCAGGGATCCTGCACAATGTTCAAGGCAGACATTGTTTACTAGTTATGCGAAACTATTGGTTAGTTTTGTGAAGACTCCAGGGATACTTTTAGTTTAAGGTTTCAAGATTATGTCAAGGCAATCATTTCAGGAGGTCATCTAAAACCTTCGTAGGTTCAGAAAGTCTGGAGCCCATGAGAATATTTCTTGTTTTGTTTCTTCAGTAGTCTTGGATCAAAATGTTTAGTATCTGTCTATCATCCACTTCTGGTCTCATGGTAGAGGAGCAGATGTTCCTGTAGGCAATTTGTCACACATTCCATATTCTATTTTTTACTTCAATTGCTGAAAGCAAATAGAGACCAATTATTGTGTCTCAGATGGCCACTTACAAACTTTTTAAGACTCAGAAACAAAACAAAAACTCACTGACATGGGAGAGGGGGAGGTGGGGGAAAGGAAGTGGTGTTAACAAACCCAGGAACAAGGGAACAACAAGTGATCCAAAATTGGTGGTGAGGGGGGTGTAAGAGGCCTGGTAGGG